AGTCACATACACAGTCACACAGCCACACATATACACAATCACACATGCATTCATACACACACACACATACACACACAGGGAGCTGGGTCACTCTGTGCGGGAAGAAGGGAGGTTCCCTTTCTCATGTATTGGCATGTGCTTGGCATTTTCATATGGTTATGTCTCTGTCTCACAAAACCCCTTATGTAATACCTACTATTAAACCAATGTTACAAGTTAATTTGACAGAGGTAGTAAGTGGCCAGACTAAATCAATGTCTAGGTGTCTTGACTTGCAAAAGCCATCCCCTTCTCATTGTACTGTGCTGCCCCTCACAATTTAAAATTATGGTTTAATCTTTGTGGCCAACGTCTGCTCCAGGAATTCAGGACTAATATCTAACCTGGTAGCTCAGTTAAGTACAGGAGAATGAGTAAGCATTGCCTGCTGGGTTTTCTGAAGGGATGGAAAGGAGGAAGAGTGGTTTGTGAGTCTCTTAAGGCCACTTGACAGGGCTTCTTAGCACATCCTCTTAACCTTTCCAGGTACCCTTTGTGACAGAGTCTGCTTCTATAGGAAAAAGTCAACAGGATCTGCCCAATGGCACATGTCATGACTACATTGCCAGGACAGGAGGTGGGCTGTTCTTCCTGGTTTTATAGCCTAAATAATGTCCTTGTATCAGAGGTCAATTTAATCGACCTGTCTTCACTTGCTTGCCATATCAACCACTTCACTCACATGAAACAATGGTTGCTGACTTCTCTTTTGCCAGCCTGGCACTGTCCTTATCCAAGTCCTGCCCTCTCACTCTTAATCCTCTCTTCTGCTTTGTGGTATCTGCAAAGATTGGACGCCAGATACTTTTCCTGGTTAAGTCTTGGAGCTCTGGTTCTATTTGCAAATGGTTGCTGATACCGTCCTCCTCCCTCTGCATCCCGCACTGGGCCCCCCCCCCCCCCCCACCAAACTAGGAGCTTCGTCCATCTGGCTTGTACTCACTTTACCTATAAATTTCTGCTTCCCAGCCCTGGACACATTTTCAGAGAACTTAAGGAAATAATCAAAATGAGACTTATGGCATTTTTGCCCACTTTCTTCATCCCACCACTTTGGGTGAGACCAACTTACCCTGGTTTGCCTAGAACTTTCCATTTTAGCACTGAAAGTCTTTTAAGCTCGGAAACCTCTCAGTTCTTGACAAGTCAGGATGGTGACTACCCATATTCCTCTTCTTCCAGATCATCAGCTTCTGGATTAGCATGTCCTTCAGGTCTTGGGATAATTTAAGGGGACTCTATTACACTGGGAACAGGGCCAAGCAAGTACTAAAGTAATCCATTCCAGAGTGCTCTCTTTCTTTGAGATACTGTCCTTTAAATCTCCATTAGAATCTTTGCTATTGGAGACTTTCAGCTCAAGATGGCAAAATTGAACCACTTGTTTGCTTTCTTCTCTCTGTGAAATAAATCAGTGAAACAAAAACAAACAACAACAAATACACCATAGCAAAAAGAGAGGGATCGCTTTGTTATAAGATGCTTCTCCTCTTTTTTTTCCTTCAAATTTTTGTTTAAATTCTAGTTAGTTAACATATAGTGTAATATTGTTTCAGGAGTAGAATTTAGTGATTCATCACTTAAGATACAACTCACAGTGTTCAACACAAGTCCCCTCCTTAATACCCATCGCCCATTTAGCCCATTCCCCACCCACCTCACTCCACTTATTAGAATACGAGCTCAGAGATGCACATTACATTATACTTTGAGATCCTGGAGGTCAAGTTCTGTGCTATATTCTCCTTTCTATCTCCAGTTTCTGGCACAGAGTAGAACTCAAAATTCTTTATGAAATAGATGACTATGATTGGAAAATCTGAGAGAACAAAAGGAGCTCTAACATTGAAAACTTTGAGACCTGAATCATCACAATTTGAGACCTGAATCATAATTTCTTACACTCAGCACTGGTCGGGCCACCTGTGAAGAGTCGTGCTGAATTCTGAGAACTGATTCTCTCCACTCCAGCCTGGACCTCAGGTAAACTGTAGGCAACCAGTTGTAGAAGGTGGAAAGTAGGAGACACAGAGTGGGTCCTAACTTCAGGCAGCCTGTCCCAAACTACACAATTCACCCAGGCTCTGGAGAAAAAGAGAGGTTATCTTAGGATATTGTCCAAGTCCAATTCCTGGAATTACTTTGGCTGTGTCCCAGCTCTAGCCTGCAGGCATAGACATGTGACTGATGCCTGCTCAGGTAAACTTCCTTGATCTCTGGGAGACCTTGGAGAGGGGTGAAAGGAGAGGATAGGGCAGCTTGCCTATAAGTACTGTAGCAGTCGCCAGTTCTCGGAAGCAGTGGGTTGGATGAAATGACCTTTGGCAAACAGAGCAATATGAGGAGAAGGGTGAAAGGGAGAAAGGTGTGTTGAACTAGTGTTCTCAGCCCTCCGTGGTGACCGCTGTTTCTGTAGTGGCAGGTATGAGAATTTGAGAAAAAACTCTCATCATCAGAATGTCTAAGCCTTGCTTCCTGCCTTCACTGTGTGGGTTTACATTTGGGCTCCCCCTCTTCCACTAGGTATGGAGAAGAGCAGTGAGATTGGCTAGCTCATCTCCTTAAGGAAGTACACTTCCTTTTCCACTGGCAAAGGCATCATATCCCTGGAGGTATAGGGTGATATCTAAGGAGATGAGAAAGGAGGGGAAGTAGGTAGTTTTAGCTGCTCGCCATATTCTCCTTGGATGTAAATATCTGCAGGTATTGATAATGAGTCATAGGTATCAGAAGGGGAATGATGTGCAAGTTACATGTGCGTGTGACCTCACATGTTAGCCAAGCGCTGGTGACCACGGTCTGTCTGGAATTACTTTGCACATGTGTCTCTGTGTTGGTATTTACAATATAAGTCAGTGTCTTTCTGTGGGTCTGTGAGCTCCAGTATATGGGTGCCAAACACGTACATTCCCAGAACTGTGTGTGCACTGCTTTGCCTTATTTTCCTATTATAACCTTGGAAGTCCAAGCCCGGAGTAAATATCTAACTGCTGGCATAGGCCAGAAAGCCTTGGGCTACATCACTTATGACATTGGGCTCATTCTGCAGTGTTGTTTTTGGATGATTCAGGAGACATGAATCTTTGGGACAGAAAATTAACCTTGTGACTGCTGGTCAAGGAATAGGCCGGGCAGGACTGAGTCACTGCACCAGCTATTGAAGAAGGAACTGCTTTTCTAAACTCCTGAGGGATGTACCCCAAGAAACATATCCTTATAGTATATTCCAAACAGGCAGATGATTTAGATGGAGAAATGACTACCTGTATCTGTGTTTGTTTTTTTTTAACTACCTGTATCTTTAATGTTATGACCATTTTAGGGGCTGGGACAAAGCGAGATAGGAGATGTCCCCTCACTGAACATTGGAGGAACTGACTGAACAAAAAAAAGGGGAATACACTTGGAGGTGCGGTGTTGTAGAAGAAGGGTACTATTTGTTAAAGTCAGCTGCATCAGGATCACTGCATACATGATATACCAGTGTCACCACCCGTTCATAGAATCCAGGGATTCCAGTGAGAATGTAGCTTATTATACACCGTCTTACTTTCTCCATGAGCTCATTCCCTATTATGTATATTCTCATTCTGGAATTCTGCAATTCTGAAGGGAGAGATATAGGTATGTGGGAATAAGCTACTTCCTTCCTTTGAGCCAATACCGTCTGTTTTTGGCAACATAGGCCTAAAATATGGAGGATTAGCTGAGTGTTGTCAGAGAGCATCTGTGCAAGTAGCTGATGCTGATGACAAAAGCTGGAAGGATGCCATTAGTCATAGGCTCAGGAAGCCACTCATCAATTCTCCCAACAGTGCACTAAGAGCAAGTCTTCATGGTTTTTTGTTTGTTTGTTTTTTGTAGTTTTATGGTTTTATTAACACAAATGTGATGTGCACATAAGCTGTCTGTCTATTCATTTTCTTTGCTGTGCAGCCTGGCATTGGGATTCACGACTCTGATAGCCAGCTGAGCTTCTCGTTCCACTATGGCTTTACAGTTCTTGGAGGAGACATTGTAAGCAATCTCTTCACAGTAAGATTCATTGCACATCAGCAGCACCTCAAGCTCCTTGACTTGTGGACTAGAAACTTCTGAGAGCCACTGGACAGCATGTGTTTTGTTTTCTTGTTGCTCCCATAACCCATGTTGGGCATCAGGATCTGGCCCTTGAATCTTCTGCACATCCTATCATCAATGCCTCTGTGTTTCTGCCAGTTGCACTTAATTTTGACATACTGGTCTGACTGGTGCCAGATGAACTTCTTTATCCTCTTTTTAATGATCTTGGGCTTCACCAGAGGTCTGAGGGCAGCCATTATGCCTTCAAGAAAGAAGCAGAGATGGTATCATTGAGTCCTAGAAGGAAGCTTTCCTGCTCAGGCCTTGAACATTGTTGCAGACTGTCTTCCAATCTCCAGCTGCTGAGCAAACTGGGAGTAGAATGGGTACCTCTGCAAGGTTCGCTTTCTCTCCCATTTCCGAAGATGGCAGAATATTAACCACTCCCCAGACACGATCCTGGGAGAAGTCTTCATGGTTTTTGATGTGTGTGCACAATAAAATCACCTGGGAAGCCTCACCCAATCAATTATATTGGAATTTCTGAGGATGGGTTCTTGGCATCAGAATTTTAAAATATGTCTTAGAAGTGGTTGTAATATGCAGCCAACGTTGCAGAATACCTAAATTCTGGAACCCCTCAGTTCAGAAACATGAAACCAGAATATTCAACCAGGCACCTAACATTGAAAGAGGAATCACAAGGGAGACTGTTTCCTTTGTCCATGTGAGATGCGGGGTTAACTGCACACCATGTGACACTTTTACAATGTTCAGTAGACATGTCTAAAAACTAATCAGCTAGGCTGATTAGATATTCTGTCTCAGGGACTTGAAGGGGGACACAAAAGCTGTGGTGGATGCCTGACCTGAAAGTTCGGGTACGTTGGGGCGTGGGATCATTATGGTCACAGATTTGTCAGGTAGGGCAGACTTGGAGGAAGTTGGTCAGGAGAGGGAAGAGAATGAAAGAGCAGCTGGAGAAACAGAAGGATGACACAGGTGACACAAGCAGGGGAGGATGGCCAGTCCCCACGGATACCTTGACTCCTTAGCTTGCTGAGACAGTTGCAGTGCAATCTGAGAGAACCGTAAGTAGAACTCTGATTTAGAATTTTAAGTGAGAAGGATGCGGTTTCCTCTCAAGTCTTCAAGTCTGGCGTATACCTGTCTTGAATGCACTTCCTTTTTCTCTCTGTCACTCAAACACCTAATCCTTTCTCAAGAACAGTTTGGATGTCATTCCTACTTGGCCTCCCAGAACATGCTACAATGCATACTCTGCTCCCTTAAATGAGATTTTGCTCATACCTTTATTTATTCCTTTCCATGCTGAATTATCATTTTCTACTTCCTTGTCTCCTCTACTAGATTTTGAGCTCTTTGAGGCTAGAGGTTGTATGTGACTTACATTTTTCATCAGTGTCTAATGCAGTTTTTGGCACATAACAGTTGTGAATAGAAGCTTGAATTAATTGAATACACTCTTAAAGATCAGATGGGCCTGAGTTTGTGGAACTTTCTGCTTCCTCATACACTCAGAAAAGGGTTAGTATACATAAAAATCTTTCTAGAATTCTAGATTGTAAACTTCCAAGGAATTTGTCCAGTAAATTCTTATGTAAAATATCTAATAAATAAAATAAAATAAGATAAAATAAAATAAAATATCTACTAAAAACCCTTAGCAGGAAATTCTCCCCTTCGGTCTTTAAACATCAAGCCTTCACAGAAAATTTAAGAGAACTAAGACATAAGAATAAGATTAGTTTGTAAACTGAACCTATTTTGTTATTTAATGGTACTATGCCTGTACAAATGAATTATCCGAATAATTACAATGAGCCATTTAGCTTAGCTGCCCCCAAGATAGGATTTTGAAATGCAAACTTAACTGCTGTTATAGTGACGCCTTGATTTGAATTTCATCTGCTGTTGTGTAAATACTTAACACCTGCAATCAAAAGGGAACCATATTTTGCCTACCTTCCTGAGCCAATTACATGAGGCCTGTGGCTATATATGGAGCTCCGTGGACATCCTATAACCCTCATATTATAGAAGGATTTTTTGTGTGCGACCCCTGATCTATGACTTTGGATGCATTCAATAAGGAGTAATGGACTCTGTGCTACAATCCATCACTGGCTGGTCAGACAAATGTGAACCGAGAGCATTAAAAAAAAATTTAAGCTTTGTCTGCTATTAGCAAAATATGTCCTTTATTCCCATTGCTCACTCCCATTCTCCTCGCATTCCCTACCAGCAAGCAGTCCCTCTGATTTCCTCAGTGTCTATTTTCTGCATGTGTTCTTGGAAAACACATAATGATGATTTGTATGCAGATGCTTTTATTTTTTCTTAAAAAAATTTTTATTTGAAATAGCAGTAGATTTACATGAATTTGTATAAAATAGTGCAGAAAGATTCCATGTACCCTTAACCCAGTTTCCTCCAATGGTAACATCTCAAAGAAACTAGTACATATCACAACCAGAATATTGACATTCATAGTTAGGATAGGGAACATTTCCATTAGCAGTTGTGTAATCACATGGCACCTGAAGTCAAGATGGAACTATATTTTGCATATCTACCTAGCCAATTATGGGTTTCTTATGACTATATCTGGAATTCCATGGGCATTGTATGAAATTCAAATCGATGTTCACATTAAAGTTCAACCAGGATATTGACTTAGACAGTTAAGATACAGAACATTCCTATCCCCACAAGGATCCCTCATGCTGCTTTTGCTTAGTCAAACCTACTTCCATCCTCTCCACCCCTTCCTTAAACCCCTGGCAAACCCTAATCTGTTATAAAAGTGGAAGAATCATGTAGCATATAACCTTTGGGGATTTGGGGATTTGCTTTTTTTTTTTTTTTTTTTTTTTTTTTGCATTCGACATAATTCTCTGGAGATTCATGCATGTTGTGTGTATTGGTAGATTTTTTTTTAAATTGTGGAGTAGTCTTCCACAGTGTTGATAGATTACCATTTGTTTAACAGTTTACTCTGAAAGACATCTGGGTTTCCAATTTTTAGCTACTTTAAATACAGTTACTGTAAACATTTGTGTACAGGCCTTTGTGTGAACATCTCTTCATTTCGCTAGGATAATACCTAGGAGTGTGACTGCTGAGCCCCATAGTAGTTGCATGTTTCCTTTTTAAAGAAACTGCTAAACTGTTTTCCGAGTGGCTTCATCATTTTACCTTCCCACCAACAATGTATGAGTGATGCATCTTCTCCACATCCTCACCGGTATTTAGTGTTGTTACTATTTTAACTTTAGACATTCTGATAGGTAAATCTATGAGATTTTATATCCCATTGTGGTTCTATTTTTCCAATAGCTAATTTTGTTGAAAATCTTTTCATGTGCTTTTTTTTTTTTTTTGCCATCTTTATATCCTTTTTTGATTGAATGCCTCTTTATGCCTTTTGCCTATTTTCTAACAGGACTGTTTATGGTTTTAATGTTGAGATTTGCTAGTACTTTATATATTCTGGAGAATAGCCTTTTCGGATATGTAGTTTGCAAATATTTTCTCTTTGTCCCTATCTTGACTTTTCATCCTCTTAATAGAGTCTTACAAAGTAAAAATTTTACATTTTGGTCAAATCCAACTTATCAGCTTATCAACTTTTCCTTTTATGGATTTTGATTTAGTGTCAAGTTTAAGGGCTCTTTTTGCCTAGCCCTAGCTCTTAAAGATTATCTCCTCTGCTTTTTAAAAATATATTTTATAGTTTCATGTTTTACATTTAAGTCTATGATCCATTTTGAATGAATTTTTGTATAAGGTGTGAGACTTAAGTCATGGTTACTTGTGTTTGTTTGTTTGTGGCTGTCCAATTGCTTGCTCCAACACCAGATACTTGAAAAAGCTCTCTTTTCTTCATGAAATCACTTTGTATCTTTGTAAAACATCAGATGGGCATATTTGCATGGATTTATTTCTGGCTTCTGGGTTCTGTTTTACTGATCTGTGTGTCTACCACAATGCCAATATCACATAGGCTTTTTTTTTTTTTTAATACTACATAGTGTTGATTTCTATAGTATCTAATAAGGCTTGAAATTGGGTAGATCCATTGTTTGAGCTGAAATTGGGTAGATCCATCCAAAATTGTTTGAGCTATTCTAATTCCTTTGCTTTCCCATGTAAATTTTAGAATAATATTGTTGATATCTATAAAAAGAGAAAAGAGTTCCTGGAAATTTGACAGGATTTGTGTTAAATCTGTATATCAATTTAGAAAGAATTGACATCTTTGCTGTGTTGAGAATTTCCACCATGAATACGGCATGTCTTTCTGTTTGTTTAGATCTTTTTGATTGTTTTCATCAGTGTTGTGTAGTTTTCAGCATACAAGTCCTGTAAATATCTTATCTTGTTAGGTTTACACCTATATATTTTACTTTTTAAAGAAATTATACATGCACAATTTCATTGATTCCTTCCTGACATACATGACTTTTATTGCCTTTTTATATTGGTTTATAACTTCTAATGTTGAATAAGTGACGATGAGAGCAGACATCCTTGCCTTGTTCCCAACCTTAGGGACAAAGCATTCAGACTTTCACCAGTAAATATAATGTTAGCTGTAGGATTTTTCTGTAGCTTCTCTTTATCAAGTTGGGGTAGTTTTATTCTATTTCTATTTTTTCTGAGAATGTTTTTAAAATTATAAATGAGGGGCGCCTGGGTGGCGCAGTCGGTTGAGCGTCCGACTTCAGCCAGGTCACGATCTTGCGGTCCGTGAGTTCGAGCCCCGCGTCAGGCTCTGGGCTGATGGCTCAGAGCCTGGAGCCTGTTTCCGATTCTCTGTCTCCCTCTCTTTCTGACCCTCCCCCGTTCATGCTCTGTCTCTCCCTGTCCCAAAAATAAATAAACGTTGAAAAAAAATTAAAAAAAATAAAATAAAATTATAAATGAATGTTGAATTGGTCAGATGTTTTTTTCTACACTGTTTGGTATGACAATGTGATTTTTCATCTTTTGCTTGTGATGGGCTACATTGATTTTTGAATACTGAATCTGCTTGGTATCACTGGAATAATCCTCACTTGGTTATGGTGATAATTCTTTTTACATATTGCTGAATTGTTTGTTAATATTTGTTAAGGATTTCTGTGTGTATATTCAAAGACATATTTGTTTGTAGTTTCCTTTTTTGCATTATCTTTATCTGGTTGTGGTATTAGGGTAATATTAGCTTCATAGAATGCATTAAGACAAATTCCCTTTCCAGATAGAAAGGAAGAGGTTATGTAGAATTGACATTAATCCTTCTCTAAATATTTGGTAGAATTATCCAGTTAAAGTATCTTGGCCTGAAGATTTCTTTTTAGAGAGTTTTAAAATTATGACTTTACCTTTCTTGATAGTAATGGGGTATTCAAATTACCTTTTTGTATGGGATGGCTTGTGCTAGTTTGTGTCTTTTGGGGAAGTGGTTTCTTTTGTATAAGCTGTCAAATTTATGTGTGCAGAGTTGTTCCTAGTACTTTCTTATTATCCTTTTATGTGTTCAGGGTCTATAGTAATATCTCTTCTTTCATTCCTAATGTTGGTAGTTTATATCTTCTCTTTTTCTCTCTCTTATCTGTATTGTTAGAAGTCTGCCAGTTTTACTGATGTTTTTCAAAGAACTAGACCTTTGTTTCATTGAGTTTTTTTCCGTGTTGTTTTTCTGCTTTCAATTTTATCAATTTCTGTTCTTAGGTTATTATTTTCTTCCTTCCTTTGCTTTCAGTTTATTTTACTTTTTTTCTTTTCTGTGTTCTTGAATTGGGAGCTTAGATTTTCGATTTAAGACTTTTCCTCTTACCTAACATATTCATTTTTTTTTTTTAATTTTTTTCAACGTTTTTAATTTATTTTTGGGACAGAGAGAGACAGAGCATGAACGGGGGAGGGGCAGAGAGAGAGGGAGACACAGAATCGGAAGCAGGCTCCAGGCTCTGAGCCATCAGCCCAGAGCCCGACGCGGGGCTCGAACTCACGGACCGCGAGATCGTGACCTGGCTGAAGTCGGACACTTAACCGACTGCGCCACCCAGGCGCCCCAACATAT